TATCGCAGGGAACCCCTGCAATATCTCAGAAGATATTCGAGTTATTCAGTGCCCATGCGTTCGTACTACTATCAGGCAATGGAAAACAAAATAATGTTTGCGCGCGCTAAGACTATCTCAGATATCTACACCTACTGCTGCTCCCTCAGGATTTCCCATGGTTTGGATTACTGTGGAAAGAAGAAAAAATCTCGGGAGATCAAAATTGTTACCACTTGTTACTAATTGTTACAAGTTGAAATATTTTCTGTTAGTGTGAAAAGGGTATTAATGTGGGATAAAAATCTTAGCAATTGGGCGTGATATGTTACAGAAGCCAAAACACCTCCTCCCTAATCTGTACAATCCTGTATAGGCTACTAAGGCTGTTTTCATACATGGCAGCTAAGAGTTAGCAGGATCTAGATTACAAACTTTTGCGCTGACCTGTGTGTTCATACAAGAAATTCCCCGATCCAGATATCAAGAAGATGACGGTGTGATCACTGGCCAATAGAAAACTAGAAATTGGGTTAATGATAGATACGTGCTCAACTTGCTAACCAATAGCACTCTCTAACCGTTAGCGTATCTTGATCCTGGTAATGGTTAACGTTAACCGATCAGGTGCTCTCACACGTGCCAACGGTTAACTCCCGATCTGAATACTAAGGCTCTAGTGTGAACTTGACCATAATAATCATATGATAATAAAATCAACAGCAAAAGTCTGTAGTTATATAAGGTGATGAGTAAGGTGATAAGTAGTTACAGTGTGTCTCCAGATTTCAATGTCTTGTATTTAGTTTGATCTTCTGTCAATCAGTCCATGAAGACATATATACAGAGTTGTTATCTTTTTATGAGTCTTACTATATTAGATATGTTTTTTTTTATTAAATATAAAGCTGTTTTTATTAGGCTAATAAACATAACAAAATCAATATATGGCTTACTTACTTTGTATATTTAAACAATTTATTGACTTTCAAATTGAAAATTTTAATGAAAAAGTATTCCTCTCCAATTAACCTATACAAATTCTTATATTCATTGTATATTTCTATATATGTTTTTTCATATTTTTTAGGTCAAATTGATTGTTGAAATTTAAAAGAACTTGTAGTAAAAAGTACATAAATCAGTAAAAACTGAATAGTTTTGATCTCATTGAATGTAACAAAAATTAACAAAAAGTGATTTTAACTGTGAAATATACTTTTTTTAATCTATGCAACCTTTAAATTAATGCCATGTAATCTAATCAACAAATCAATGGCAAGAATTTATATAGGTGTTGGTAAATACACATTTAATAGTGTGACAACCAATATTTTCTTGATCATAAGTTAGGAGGTATATAGCTTGGTGGTTAAGATGCTCATCTCAAAACTTGAATGTTCAAATCCTGTGAAAATCCAGATTTTGTTCTTTCTCAAGACCACAAACTAAAAATCGGGGGTGTGCACCTTCCCCCTCCCTTTCGCGTTTGCGCCTGTTCACTTAAATTTTAGTTTCTTAGTGGCTAAAAACCACCTTGAGCCTTTAATGTGGAAGGCACTATAAAAATACTTGACCATTGACTGCTACCTTGCTTAAAACCTCATCACCAATTTCATTCTGTTCAATGAGAACAAAACAAATAAATATTTAAACAAACAAAAATATAATTGTTTAATCCACATATTGTTTGCTTATTTAACAGTTAGACCTATTTAATACATTTCCTATTTATGTGGCTATATTAGTAACTTGTAAATGTATAGCATCTACATATCTGTTTGGAATCTGTTGTAGTCATCATTGAAACCCACTGTTTCCTTCCTGGAATGTTTCCTGTTATTTTTCTCTCAAAAGTATAAAAAAGAAAAGCAGATGTTTCCATAGTCGAATTACATTCATGTTCAATCTGTGTCTTCTATGTAACAATAATGAAGAAATATTTGTACAGTACTATATTAATTATTATAATTTATTTGTTCGTGGTTAGGTATTATGTGTTTTTTCCATTGTATTTCTGTATTTTTATTGTCTAATTTTATATTTACATACTTATTTTGGTATAAACATGGTTGAAGACATAAAAATCATGTTAATAATTCACTACATTTCACATAACTAAGAAAGAAAATGCTATATGATTACTAATGTTCTTGTTATATATTAATAATATTAATTTGCCACTACATTAGGCTCCATCATATATTCATAACAAAATCAATTTCTCACTTTGCAAGGTTTCAAACATGATTTCTTTTGCTTGTTGTGATGGTGAGCATTAGCAGCTTATTTAGGTGTGTTAGCATGAGGGGGTTGTATTGATATGAGGGGGAAATGGGAGGGTGATAAAAACAGTTATGGGGAGTTAGCTTATTTAGGTGTGTTAACATAAGTGAGTGTGTTAATATAATGGGCTGATGGGAGGGTTTGATACAAAAGTTGGAGGGAGTTAGCTACTATAGGCATGAGTTAATATCCTCTATAAATACTTGAGCATATTTTTTTTTGCTTATAGCATTTTAGAAGGGGGTCTGGAGGGGCACTGACATTAGCTGAAGCTTTTCAAACCCCTTCTTCTTAGATATGCTACTGATAAGTATAAATTTCAATGCATTTTTTCTTACCAAATGTGTAATACCTTTAAATCTAAAATTAACAATATATCCTCTTGATAAAAATGGTAGATAGAATATAAAAACCTTTTTATCTATCAAACTTTATTTTTTGATTTAATGCCCAGTTATCAAAATAGATTAACTTATTTTGTATTTATACCATACTCGCGCGAATAAGCACCCCTCTCGAATAAGCATCCCTCTTAAAGTGAAAATTGTCTTAAGCGCCCCGTTTGAATGAGCGCCCCTCCTAGTTTGAATAAGCGCCCCTCCTAGTTTGAATAAGTGCCCCTCGGTGTTTATACATTTTTTTTTTTAATATCTTGTGATTGATTTTTTTTTTGCAAACGATAATTTAACTAATCCTGAGAATGTGGTTTGCTTGATTTCAGCTGAGGAGTGGATTCACATTTTCTTCTTATAATGTCAATTTCAAAATGAGGATATTTTATCCTAGACAGATGAGAGCTCCCTGGACAGTATCTTTCCAACTTTTCTCTTCTTAAATTTGTCTACTTCTCTTTTTCTTTTCCTGACAATTTGCACTTATAGCACGTTTTCATGTGAGTGTGCAAGTAGACCTACAATGATCCTGCTAATCTCAATTGGCAGATGGCCAACAAGCTTAAACTTATACACCATCATCACCTCCTCTAATTTCATCTGCTGTTGTAAACCTCACAGAATTCTTGTCACGAGCCATGATCTCTGGACAATTATCTTTTCTACACCAGAACCATTTGTAATCTTCAGTTTTCGGATGTCCTGTAATTTTTTTCATTCAGAAATCGCCCATTGAATTTTCCAAGTTCCCAAAAGAACCACTAAATTTTCATGTATTTCCATAAGCGCCACCTCAATTTCCATTCTGTTTTCATAAGCGCCCCCCGTTTGAATAAGCGCTCTGTTTTCATAAGCGCCCCTCAAAAAGGGCAGAAAATATTTTAAGCGCCCGGGCACTTATTCGTGCGAGAATGGTACTTACAATTTCTAATAGTTAAGTGAAAGTGAGGAGTTGATCTGTTACTTGGTTGTTAAGACACTTGCCTTCCAATCCCAGAGTCATGGGTTCAAACCCTGTCAAGTTACAACAACATTTTTTTCTTGTTAAAGCCACCAACAACTCCACTTCCTAAGTTGCATATGAGACTTATTTTATGTTGAGAATTTTGCTAAGTTTCTCTAATTTATCCTGTTATTGGCAATTATGCTGTTGGATGAATTGAAATTAAAAAAAAATGTTCTCTCCTTATTTTTGAGGTTGTTATTTCCGTCATGGAGTATTAAATTATCTTGCCTCTGGTTGGATTTAATTGCTTTTTCATGAACTTTAGGCTGTATTTACGAGGCTTGTTGCAAAGAAAATATTTTGCTTATCTCTAAGACTTAGTTTATGTAAATCATTTCTTATAAAGACATGTAAACTTGTTAAATATTAAATTGAATAGATTCAAATACCCCTGTAGCCGGAGGGATTATATGTCGTTGAGCAGCCTGCTAACGTCAAATCTTGCACTTTCATTTCAAAACAGGCAAAAGGAATATGGTCATCAATAGGCCTACAGGTTAATGTTATGAATAATAACCTGGAATACATTAACTTAGCTATGTCACCTTTAGAACTATACTGCCTGTATCATTCCCCGGTGTACTGTTTATGCATGCAATATTGTACATATGACTGTAGAGCAAATTATTATAGTGGACCAAACTTAAAATTATGTAACATTTTTAATACAATAATTATAGAAGTCATGTATAGCAATACTGAACATATGTCCATGTGGTTTTGAGATTTGACTCTGTGGTGTGATTGCAGATTAAATGCTTCTTTTGTATAGGGACTAAAATAGCAATTTACCAGTATGCTAATAAGCGTAATTAAACACAAGGCTTGAGTAATTTTCAAAATATGAATAGCATTTGGCTTTAAGCTAGAATAATAAAGTCACAGGCAACAAGAATCATTTTCTTAATTAAGGATTTCTTCTTTTTACCTTTGTCTTTGTTTCATTGTTTTCTTATCACATAATACTTACTGCTAAGCATTTGCTGTCCTAATTAATTCTTGTTTTTTAATACTTTAGATTTTAGGTATTATTTTTTAAATTAATGTTTTACATATTGCACAAATTGTAATCTTGCAATTTAGCAATTTTGCTGCTGTTAGAGAAGTTGAATAAAATTGATTTGAATTTAAAACGCCTCCAATGTCTGCATACAAATTAAGTTTTTAAAATTTAAAACTTTAGCCTGCTATCGTGATGGTTTTGCAGAAGAAAAAAAGAAACATTTTTTAATAGGATATCAATTATTATTGGTATGCATGGTAAACAATTTTATGATTTTTTTTTTAATGAATTTATGGAAGTTGTAAGTTCTAAATTTTTGTATTACTTTTTTTAGATGTATTGAATGATTGGTTAGTCTGCATCATCATCATCCACTATGGGCTGTGCTCATTCCCGATCTGAGAATCTGACGATGCCAGAACGAGTTCTCCAATCGGTTGAATCATCTGACGGATACTTCCGACAGACTCTGCAGACACCAATGGACTACATTCTAAAGAGTGAGGGCGTGGAGATGTCGAACGAGATGTCATATCATGGACCACCATCTCACTTACAGAATTCCATTGACATGCATCCCTTCTGGCATTTCTATGGCCGTGATTATATTCCTTCGGTGCGCTACATAGACAAGAGCCATGAGCAACCCCCTAGTCTGTTGCCAACAGCAGCAAACGCGCAGGAACTCCGTGCCATTGAGTTGCATGAAACAATGCATAGTCTGCGTAAACAAGTAGTTGGGGTGATCGAACGGAAGAAAAATGAACAAAAGGCAGCGGCTACAATCGTGGAAGAATCTGACGGAAATTTCAGTTTATCTAAAGAAGAACAAAGTACTTTAGATTTCTTAGAAGCGGCTTTAAATGATTTAGACGACACTCCAAACGATTCTAAAGACTCGTCGCATAGTTCATTAGACTTGCAACTTATGAACGCTAGTAGTAATGGGCATCAACAGAAAAACGCATTAGAAGTTGATGATGAATTAATTGTGGATCCAAGTACAAGGATAGGAAGACGAGTTCACCAAAATGCAATGTATTTGCCATCTCTTCCACCGAACACAAGACAAAATCTAAAAGAAAGGATACTCCTACAAAGCGAATCATCCGAAATGGAAGAAAACAAGATGGACGCTAGCAATATGAAAAACTCTGGTGAAAATATGATCCAAAGAAAGGGCTCACAATACACCAAAAACCAAAGTAATGCAAATGTTGTACCTTTCAGTAAATCATATGTGGAGGAAAAGTCTGAAAAGGAAAAACTAGAACGGCGATCCAGTAGTGTGCGCGATTTAGTAAGACTCTTCAGTGTAAATAGCGAAAAAGAGAATGTAGATAACTCAAATAATTTTGTGAATGAAAAAGAAGAGTTACATATACAGGGAGGATATAAAGAATCAATGATTAATTATGAGAATGGTAACAACGCTCAAAATATCGCCACAGCCAGGAGTAGCAGGCGGAAATCCATTGACGATATGTCTGATGATTCTGCTATTGTGACTGAAACACACGATCTCGTCGATGAGAACTTCTTGACCATGCATCAAACAGCGGTTGGAGGACATAAAAAACTATCTGTAACCGATTCAACACTAACACAGAAGAGCATCGACAGTGGCATCTCATAGTCTAGTTTCTTGTGACAACCTTATGTGAATTACCCATATGTAGCCATGATGATGACATTCATATTATATCCATATATGGCCATGATCATATCTTATCCAATCCATATGGGCATGAGGATATTTGTACCAGATTATATATACAAAGGCAAATATATATTTGTATCATGTTTGTATTTTATATAAAGGCCAAAAGGGTCAAGCCTGACAAAATCTATTGTAATGTGGTATTTTTATCAAGGAGGAGCTCAGTAAGCTTAATTTAATATTATTTGATACGTTGATCATGAGTTTTAGCCTTGTAGTTACCATTTATGAACCAAAAAGCATGGGGTAATACTGGCAGGGGAGCATGGTTAAGACTTGTAGAATACAAGGTCTCGTAATCTCGAAAGCTCCGATGAGGGCAGTAGAGTATATTGGCCCTAACAGCCGCATAAAAAAGATCTATAATCAATCAGCAAAAAAGATAATCAATCAGCAAAAAAGATCAATCAATCAGCCGGTAATCCTAGAGCTCCTCATCGGAGAAAAAATTTTTCTATCAATCGATCAGCCGAGTATTTCTAGAGTTTCTCATCAGGGCTAATAATAATAATAAAAATAATTAAAGGCCCATATAAAAAAGATCTATTAATCGATCAGCCGAGTATTATACATAAATATTTGTATAGATTACTATGATTTCCTACTGATCAACCATGAATGTCTCATTGGCAACTCAATTTTTTGGGAACCTATACATGTACTCTTTTTAATCTATGGATATTTTTTCAATGAATTTTGTAACTTATGCAAATATTAATATAATCAAATTATATTTTTAGGTAAGATATTTTGCTACAGAGAAATAGTTTAATTGGTGTCTAATGAAACAATATTTGTAATGATTTAATCGTGGAGGAATAAGTTTATTCCTTAATGCTTTAATGATGAATGAGTTTGTGTGTCACAAACATGTAAAATTTATTAAACTGAACTTTGTCATACCTGGAACCAAATGTATGAGGCCCATAGAGTAAAAATATAAATATACAAAAATATTAACTTCCTATGCTTGTAATATAGGAGTGCATTTAAATGACCATTACATGTGTACAACCATATTCTAGAAATAAAAAAGACCAATACAGCTGTCGACACAGTTCTAGCCCTGGCACAATGGAGCTCTTGCACGAACCGTGGCCGTACTTAAAGGTGAAGATTCTCATGCGTTTTTTGGGGGTTTTTTTTAATCTCACATCAAACCAACAATTATTTTATTAAAAGTTGTGTAGATATGGAAGAGAGTGAGGTTGATGAAATTTTCAAATGACAACAAGATATAGATAGGTACTTATGTATATCTTTGAATTATTTAATCATAACAAAGTCCAAGACTTTTCATGGAGTTCTCACACATGTAAATCTCTTGCATGCATGTCAAAGGTTATCTCATATCCAATGACACTTTCCTATCATTCTGTAACCAATGATCACCAAGTTAACAGGGGTCTGTAGTTGCAGGAATCTCCAGATATCAGCATGGTCTCCCGCAAATCATTTAAATGTATTGAGAAAGTTCAATTAAACTAGGTCTTCTTGAAGTAGATTTTTCCAAATTGGTACCCCTAAGTTGACACCACCATATAAGCCTGTAGCCAGGGGGTTCGAGGGGTTTGAAAGAACCCCCTTTTCCAGAAATGCCCTTTTAAATTATTACTAAAAAGTACCATTTACTTGAAAGTTTTTGAAATTAACTCCAAATATTTGAAATTTGGAATTTTTATTGCCATTTCCGGACATCTGAGGTGTCATATCTTAAGAAATAAATGGCGGGGGCAGAGGTGGGTTTGGCCTTTTGTGAAAAATTAGAAACCCCTTTAAATATCTCACTTACAGGCTTGATATTTTGAAGACAGAGTAACATTATTCTGGTTGTAAATTTAATGACAGCATACCTACTCTAAATTACTCACTTATGTACCTTCAGAGTATATACTTTACACGACAACAAAAAAAAATGTAATTTTCAAATGCAGAAATTATGAATTGTAGTTTTATTGGATGACATCATCTTCTTTGTTGTTATGTGGCCAAGTCCCATGACATGACAACATGTAATGACTAAATATGGTTGTGAACTGAAATTATTTCCTGTTTTATTATTTTGGAAAAATTTGGATAAAATTATATTTCAACCATTAACTAATAAAATCTACAACGTTGTCCCAAATATAATATATTTTTGAATTGTAGAATGGAAAAAGGATGAGATTTGAATTCATGGAAGTGAAATGGTAAACTAATTTGGGAATACTACCTGACTGGGTTCGTTAACCATAATTAGTAATTAGATATTCATAATTGTTTGAGATTAGGTCATTAGTCCAACTTTAATTGCTGTATTGCATGTGTGTGCTAAAATATCTTTAATTTTAATAAGATTTTTCTATGTATTTGTTATTAATTCATACATTATATAATTTGTATATTTTCCCCTTTTGAACAGGTAGCATAATGTATAATTTCAAAATATGTAGGTTTGGTGGTAATGGTGCCCCCCCCCCTCACCCCACAGTACCTGTGCATAAAATAGTGTAGTTTGCCCTCCAGTTTCAGACCCCTTGAATTCAAGACCACTTTTTCAAAGTACCAACCAAGTTTTTAGCCTGGTGTAAAAATAGCCACTGCCTTTTTAAATTCACAAAACAATGTCCTTTAATTATATATGTTTACCATGAACATATATTTCCATTATTATCAATATTGTGTTATTATTTCTGGTTTCATTCAACTTCCAAGTAATTTATCTACTAAATTGCTCTATTGATCATCTGACACATGTTTACCAAATGTCAGTAACATTTTCATTTCAAATAAAATATTGATATTTAAACCTTGTCATATGGGATGTCAGATACTGATAAAACTTGACAATTTATTCTTTGCAAATACTTATATGCTTTCAATTCTGGTATCATATTCCTTTTCACTTCCTTAAACAAATGTGAACAACTTTAAAACAGTGTAATTTTACAGGCAATGTGATATTATTCACTACATATAATTTTTTCACTATATTTAGCTGGTCCATTTAACTGACTTCATCATTTGGAATGCGCTATTGAATTAAGTTTATGAGGAAGTGGAGTCTAGACCAGATCATTTGGATCACTTGATTCTCTATAACATAATTTTTTTAAGCTTTGGGGTGGGGAGTTGATCATTTGGGAAATGTGCTCAATAACCAGGTCAGTTTATGAGGCTGGGGGCAGGGGAATTGAGAGCTGATTATTTGGGACCCTCGATGTTTTTGTAACTCAAGTCTCTTTATGAGGCTGGGGTGGGGAAAGCTAATCATTTAGGACCCTTGATGCTCTATATCCAATTCTATGAGGCTGGGGGGTAAGGAGCTAATCATTTTGGACCATTGATGCTCTATATCCCAAGTTTTTTTCTGAGGCTTGCAGGGGGCGGGGTTGGGGGTGTGGAGAGCTGAACATTTAGGACCCTTGATTTTATATATCCAAGTCTATGAGGCAGAGGGGGTTGGGGTGGAGAGCTGACCATTAAGTCCATTGATGCTCTATATCCAAGTCTCTTCATGAGGCGTGGTTGGGGTGTGGTGGGAAGCTAACCATTTAGGACCATTGATGCTCTATATCCAAGTCTCTTTATGAGACTCAGGGTGGTATGGAGAGCTGACCATTTAGGACCCTTGATACTCTATAACCAAGTCGCTCTATAAAGCTTGGGGAGTGGATATCTGATCATTTGTGACCCTTGATGCTCTCTACAGTATACAAGTCTCTTTATGAGACTTAGTGGTAAATTTAGGACCATTGATGCTCTATAAAGCTTGGGGAGTGGATATCTGATCATTTGTGACCCTTGATGCTCTCTACAGTATACAAGTGTCTTTATGAGGCTTAGTGGTATAGAGCTGATTATACATAACCTTCAGCACCTCTCTTCAAGAGGATTCGGGGTGACAGAGTTGATCATACGGAACTGATAACACTACCCAACTTGCTTTAGGTGGCTTTCAGAAAGGAAGTTGTTTTCATTTGTGAAAAATAGAATCCTTTCTTGGCAGGATGAACATAAGACATTTTCATTAGAAAGTTCATCATCTGAACCACAACCTAAGCCACATCCATTCCAAAATAAAGACTATTCCCGATAAAAGGAGTTCAGGAATGCAAATTTAACGTATAAACATATATTTATATTTAAACATGTATTTATTAATGTATGATTACTGTATTAATATTTGTATCCCCCACCCATTTGGAATTCAAACCCATTCCTTTAATCTACCAAGTGAGCTCTTGGGCCAAACTGGTATTCTCTTTGGATTCTCCATTTAAGGGCATATAACTGTTTTATTAAGGTATTGCGTGGTATGAAAAATGTATGGATAAATCACATGGTATATTGATTATGTGGTATGAAGAAACATGTAAAGAAAAACTAATGTAGAAATATATTCTTTTAATTAGTAACCCATACTTATTATTTACTACCTTTGATTATTTGTTTAAAGGCTAAAATCAAAGGTTCTGCATGCCTAATGAAATTGTTTTAATGTATTATTTCTTTTATAGACCTTGACCATTGTTGGCTGATGCAATTAATGTTTGAAACCTTTGACATTAAAGTGGGCTTATAGCCTGGTGGATTATTTTACATAAATATACTTAAATGATAGGCCATGGGCTTATACCTGAGAAACATCATTATTATCCTCATAAACCACATTATACTGGTTTCAAAAGATACTCAACTATTTCTTATTTTTGTTGTTTTGTTGAATTGTGGTTAAATCTTTCCATGTGTCTTATTACAGTGCTTTAAATTACCATTTCAATCACTTATGACATTACTATTAAAAATCCTGACATTTTTTGTCCTTTGATAGATTGCAGACTTTGAATCATATTAAATATTTTTTTTAAATAAACACATATAGGCCTATATTTCTTGGCTAAATATTGTAGTATTATTTTATTTTTTAATATTGTCTATCTTCTAATAGTTTCTTTGTATATTTCATATGGAATTTACCATACTGTTAGAGTTATTTACTATTGTATTGAGGGTGCTATAATTGGTAAGGCCCAATAAAAAAAATTATTAGTTTATCACCCTCGTGCGCATGTCTTTTATGGTACTGGAAAAAAAAAATTTGAAAATTTTTTTTGGAAATTTTTTTTATTTCTTTTATTTATTTTTTTCATTTATTTTATTAAATGGTTAATAGATATTGTTTGCATTATCTAAATCATGTTTTACTTTGAATATCAATGCACCAGCAAACAACCCAAGGGTGATATTTGGCTTTAGCAAAATAAAAAATAAATAAAAAAAAACCTCCCTCCCTCACTTTTCCTGCCCATATAGGGTGATAAACTAATAATATTTTTTATAGGGCCTAATGTGTGTTGTAATAACTAGTAGAGACAATTGATACAGTATATCATTATTTTCATAGCTGAAACCAAATATTAGGATATATGCTTCAATTTATATCAGGCTGGTCCAAATTCCTGTTGCATATTATTTTAATAACCTTATTGTTTTTGCATGAATGCACAATTTAAAAATATTTTTGTTTCATCAATTGTATGCCTGGTTTTCCTATTTGAAATCATCATTATTTCTGTTTTTATTTCTTATGTAGTATACAGTAAATGTATAGAATGGAGGATGGTGGAAGACTACCTACAAATACTAACAACTCAAATATGTAATGTAACATAGTATATTCAATAAAAGCTATTGTATATTTTCATCGTAAAAAATTGATATATTTTTTTACTATGGAACCATATTTATTATATGTGAATAAACCAGCTCATCATTTGTGTTTAAATTTTTTTAACGGCACAAATGTTTACAGAATCAAATTAAGACAACAATTGGTATAAGGTTGACCAGGAAAATGTGATCATTATATTTATACTAAAGGGGGCATTCCTAATCTTCATATTATTTTCATAATTATTATTATTATAATTATTATTATCATCATTAATATTGTTATCTTTAGGACCATTTTTATGTTACTGTTAATATAATAATTATTATTATAATTGTTAATATTTATCATCAATCATGCTATAGTTATTTGTATTATGATTATTATTATTCAATTCAATATGTAATTTATTGTCAAACGTAGAAAAAACATAGCTTGAAATTAAGGCTGAATGTACAC